TTCTTTAGACTGAACTGTCGCGCTTCTCGTTGCGTCACACCTCAACCTGCCACAAAGCCAACGCTGATGGACGTTCGTTTGGTGAACGACTCCAAATTTTCTTTAACGGAGAGTCTCCAGACTGATCTGCGAGTGAAACCTTGAAAGCTTGCGAGATCAAGATGGTCTCACGAGGCTACCAAACAGCAGCCTTTAAATCGCAACCCAGCAATGCATGTGACTAATCTGCCCATAGAAGAGGATACATTTTTTGCCTTTTGAACATATTATTAAACATGTTTGCTTTTTAATCTTTTTCATTATGTAAACTGTATGTGAATACTCCAATTAGAAGTACATTTACAGAACCTCATTGAAGCGGGATGGGGATTTTCAATGTGCCTTATTGCTGAGAATGAAAGTGGCTCTTTCATAGCGGGAAACATGGTAAACAGAACTTTAATGGTGTACAAACCACCTGCTGCTCCAAAAGCAAGTGATAATTTTTCCCACTCGTGTTTAAATTCTTTCTGTGTGACTTTTCTGTACCATCCATCAACTGCAGTTATTAGGAAAAATTCATGGAGCCTTCCTAACTGATGGTAAATCTGTATAAACTGTAATTTGTGCACAGTGGGTCTAAACGCTGTTGAACATGGAGCCGGGAGAGAGCTATGCTTCTCTGGCCTCGGAGCACGTTCCCCCATGGCCTCCCGGTTTCCATTATTAAGCAGGAGGAGATAGAAAGAACTTTTCCACGCCGCTGCGGCTAATTGCTCTGAAACAGGGGGAATCTGTTTATGGGCGCAACTTTGATCAGTGTACGGATGCTTTAATAACCTTTAATTTTATTTGCTCACCCCCATCATCCCCAGTCTGATTAGAGAAAATAAAAACTCCCTTCTCCAATATGAATAAGAATTTGATTTTTTTTTCTCTCTTCTTCATGTTATTTGGTGGAAATATGGATGTAAAGTAATAGTAAATGGCAGGAATGTTTCAGTGGGGCTGGACAGATGCACACTTCTTGCATGTTTATATAAAAATGGACCTTTGGTATTATTACTGTTTGCTAAGTAAATGTTTCCAGGCTGGAACCAGTGATTTACCACCCAGCTGCAATCTGCTAGATTCATAAATTCAAAAGACAACAGAAAATCCTCCTTGAAGAAGATCTATGTAGACCACGTGTCATAGAATTTGGACAAAAATCAACAACAATAGGCCGTTTGAAAAAGTAAACCATCCAGGCAGAACATGGAAGACATTAAGTGTGTTTTCATTAAACCTATTGCAAAAATTATTACAAAAATAAATTAACTGAATGGAAAGACTGCATTGACGTTCTTATATTTTGCAAATCTGCAATGGAAACACTTCTTTGGCATTGAATGAGTCACATGATCTGTAACCGAACCTCACTGCCTTGTAAAAAGACAAAGACCAGATGTCGTTGGATGATGATGGCGCCCAGTAGAACAATGGCTAAAATACAGATATAACTCGTTGTTTTCAGAGTTGGCACGTAAACATTTTAATTGTATTTGTCATTTAATAAAAACACCACAATTGCGAAACTTAGGTTTTTTTTGCTACCAACTGCAGGTAAGAACTTACGTGGTTAAAAGTCCAGCAGAGGAGGCTCCTCCAGGTGTAAAACAGTAACGTAAAATGAACAGAAAACTAAAGCAGTAAATGCACCGCACGCTTAATAGCGCGTAAGCGTAGCAAAGCGACATATGCATGAGCGACGTGTCACAGGTTTCCCTTTTAAACAGTATAATTTATTTACACTGGACACATAATATACTCGCTTAATGCCCGTATTACACGTGTAGATATGTAACACTGTTCCTGATTCAGGATAAGTTTCTAATTTCAGACGCAAATATGCTCCAGTTTGGGCTAGGAAGAAACAGAAACACATCTGTTTTTTTCTGTTAGCATATTGGTCAAGATGCTGATTTAAGGAGATCATATATTACTTATAAGTTCATAACTTTCATACATAGTAATGTTTAATTTACTTACCAGGTCACAAAAGCTCCTCTTTGCTCAGAGCATGCTGGAGCGTTCTTTTCAGCTTCTGGTGTAAATTTCAGTTTTCAAACAGATGCACTTATGCAGCTCAGCTGGGCTTACGTGCTCTTACACGGTGTTACGCATCCGGTGTATTTATTGCTTAAGAACCTAAACAGGGTCCATATTGATGCAGCTGAACACAACAGTTTGGACCAGACCCATGTCCATACTTTAAAAGAAAAGAAATCTAATTCTTTTAAACTTCATAACTGAATCTGGCACATCAGAGTTGTATCTTGTAAACTATTTTGTTTTGCATATTGCCTAACTTGCTTTTTCCCAAAATTAAAGTCGTAGGGAAACGACTCTTACAACCAGTTACATTTCCGAATTCTCCAGAGTGGTGCACGACTTTACACGAGTGAATAAAGTGAATGTGATTGGTTGTTAATCAAGAGGGCGGGATCGTTGTGACGGAAGGTTCGCAAGCAAGTTTTATTGTGGCCAGTTTATCGGAAGCATCTTGTCAACCAGTTAGCAACTTAGTGCTAGCAGGTTCCCAATGGGAAATTCCATTGGGACCAAGTAGCACAAAATTGGTGAATTAGAAACAACACTGTCAAGGAACGCTATGGGCAGCGGAAACATGCAAGAGGAGGAGAGTTTTGTGTCGGAGGTCCTGGATGAGTCTCCTCCCTCGTACATTTTTTATTTAGAGGAGGAAAGCGGGGATGAAGATGTTGTGGAAGAGGACGCCAGGGCGGCAGAAGCTTGGTTTGGTGTAGAAGGCTTACAGCCGTACATGTTTGAGCCCTTGCCGCGCAACGCTGCTAGTTCTGTTAGCTCTACGCCTGCTGAAGACACAGACGTCCATCCCTGTGAACACTGGGACGGATCTCAATGGGAAAGTTAAGGATTCTTATTCTTTATTTCAACCGTTGCGTACTTTAGCTGTGACATATTAATTAAGATGCTATGACTAAAAAAATGTGACTGACAGATGACCGCTGATATATGATTGGCCGAATTTAGGTGTAGAAGCTGACCTATAACTAACTGGCCTGCAAAAGATAATGGGGAAAAAAAACAAAGACTTTAAGACTGGATATTTTTTAAAATATAGAACTTTTCTAAATTTTAGGAGAATATCTGTCTGATAAATGTTAAAAAGATATATTGTCTGATAAAGAGTACATTTATATACATGTTTAAGCCAGAATGATTTGACATTTAAATATGATTTCCTTGTTCTCTGATCTTTATTAAAGAGCTATTCTGTGGGTTTAAAAAATCTTTTAAAATATCGAATATTTTGCTTATTATCAGTTATTTATAGAAGGTTGGTTCTCGTTAAGTGTCATTATACGGGGTGGTGGAGAGCAACCAGCAAATCTGTTTGTCAAACTAAGCATCAGTTTATATTGAAAGAGGCAAACCGTTCCTTCCAATGAGCTGCTGCAAGGGTCGACATTCGAGGACCGACAGAGAAAAGGGGAACAAAATCGACTCTTGTCCGTCTTTCCAAAAAGGCAACAACACAGCAGGAGAGCTCCAAGAAGATCCCTAACAAGCTGGAAATGCAATGAGACAGTGTGCCGATCCCCACTGACTTGTTAGGGCCCTGATTTCCTCGCACTAATAGGAGTTTTTAAATCATTTTCTATTGTCTCTGGTTTGGGCTAGCATTACCCCAGTGGGTTTAACGGCTGTTTAAGAATGTGGCCTAATGCCAAATGAATGGCGAGATCATAACGCTGAGTGAGTGACTGCTGCCAAGGCCGTTTCAGTGTGAAAAGGGCAAAGCTGCCTAATATATCAATATCATTTCAAAGCATATCTGACAGCAGAGCCTTCCAAACAGGTGAAGAAAAATTACTTTACATTACAACATTACGGTTTTATTTTCAAATATTGTAAGGAAATATGCAGAAAGTAAAACTCTGGGACATTTCTCTGATAACCTGCTGAAGTGTGCAGCGGCGGTGTTGATGTTCCCTCTACGTCTGCGCCTCAGACGCATGCTATGAGCTACAGTGAGCCGACGTGAGCCGAGTCAAGCCCCGGGCTGAACGTGCTCGCTGCACTTTCACACGGGCTCGCGTTGTACGGCTCTTTTCTTTAATTAACCCGGAGAGAAAACAGCTGACAAAGTTAACGCTTCGCTCCCCAGTGGCCAACGAGCGTACACATCTTTACCTACACCATAAAGGGTCTCAGTGACGACGGGATGCAGTGGGGGAAAAAAAAAAAAAACGACAAGGTGATAAGAGGCAGGGAGACAAAGGAGAAAAGGAAAGCATATGTTAATGACATTTAGCAGAAGGTTTTTCACTGTAGTGTAAAAATCCTGCGGTTTCTGCTGAAGATAACAGGTTGAAGCAGGAAATGGCCCACTCTCCACCCACCCCCCAACCTCCACAGGGCTTCTCAAACACCTTGCACCCCCAGGACCAGACACCTCAAGCCTCTGGCTCTCACATCTTAATGAACGCTGAGGGAGAAGAGACACAGAAGCACACAATCGCTCACTGCAAAACGCACCAAATTGACTGGATTTAAAACCTCTGAGCTTTTCAAAGGCAAAGGAAGAATTCCTCCTACTTTCCTAAATCCTGCACTCAGGTCTTATCAGACAACATGTGGAGAGAAATGGGCCCTAAGACAATTTGTGAAGGGTTTCAGGGGGCTTTTAACACGAGGTGAGGTGAGTTATGTGTTTTGAAAGGTCTCCTACTCAGAGCTGAACTAGAAGTCCTTGTGTTTTGAGGAGCTTTGCTTTGATTGGCTGTGGGAATGTTTCCGTCACCTCTGGCTGACAGGGCGTTACAGATGGCGGGGTAAGGTGTGTACTCACAAGCCATGAGACTTCTCCATCTCTTTCATCTGATCCCGGATGCTCCTGTAGTGGGTTTGGATCAGACACAGACGTTCCCGCCGCTGGTCGTGAGCTTTTCTCAGCTCCTCGTTCTCTTCAGTCTGCAAAGAACAACAATTTATTAGTCTTTTTTAGTCGCTTAAAGAAGTGAATCAGAGCAAAGGTAACTTTTCCTCCAGTTTGAATAATTAAACAGTCACATAGTAAATCTAAAAAGTGTTCACACCAATCTGATGTTTTGTTACAACCACAGACTGAATATATATCACAGAACAGCGATAAGTAATGTAACACATGACATACATGGCTATCAACATTTTTTACAGATAAAATGAATCTAAAAAGTGTGTTTTTCTTATTTTCCCTGAATTTAGCTCAATCCATTCCCCTTTGACTCTCACCAGGTTCCTACATGTTAAATGATCCTTTTACATGAACTATAAAGAAGCTGTTGTGACAAGAGTATTGCACAGAGATACATCCCCTTACACCCCATTTACACTACCCTTGAAAAACCGATCCATGCTGAGACCGGTCTGAGCTCGGATCAGTTAACCAGGCTGAGCTCGGTTCTGACGACCGTTTACACATCACGCTATCTCGGTTGCTCGACTCCTCGCCTCCTAGTGACGATTTGCGGTATTACTGCCAGTATTGAAGGAGGAAATCAAGCAGTTGGTGGCAGTAATGACCCAAAAGTTGTGTGCCAAACACCATAAAACAGAAGAAGAAGAAGACGAAGAAGGAGGGAATAAAGCAAATCAAAATGGCGGCGCCCGTCACATTCAGAAAGTTATGCTTGATTATTATTGCTGTACTTTGGTGTCATTGTTTAAAATGCCATTATTTAAAATGTTGCGTGGAGAAGATTTCGACTGTTGTTTATAGTTGAAGAAGAAGTTGTTCTTCTTCTGTTTCCGGAGGGGCATTAGCACCAACTACTGGAATGGAGTGTAAATCGGGATGTGCAGCCAGATGGAGATGACGCGTTCTGCTCATGCGCTCTTATTATCAGAGAACCGAGCCAGGGAAAAACCGAGCCAAGCCCACCTTTGGAACTGGTCTGCAGTTATCTCGGTCCAGTTGTGTCTAGCTCGGTTCAGTTCAGTTTGCTTTCCATTTACACACAATAAGTTATCTCAGTTACTGAGTTCGGACCGATCTCGGCACGGTTTTTCAAGGGTAGCGTAAATGGGGTAATGATGTGCAGGCCTACTTGATAGGTCTGCACCTGAGCCAAACTTTTTCCAGTTCAGGTAGGGATGTCCAAATAATGATACCTAATATCAACCAAAATGAGAAACAAAGAAGCAATCTGTTCCATCATTTAGTCTTCAACCCGATAAAGCCCACAAGATCATAACATTTAGATTTAGACAGATCTATTTCTTTGTTAGAAGAGTTCTGCGGGCCAGAATACTTTCAGGTGTGTTGGTTTGAAGAGGACTGAATAAAACGCTACTTCACATGTGTAATACTTCACATTAGTCTACGTCATAAAATCCCAGCGAAATCCGTTAAAATTTGAGGTTGGAGTTTGAAAAAAAGTGAGAAAATTTGCAGCACAGTCTTGTAAAGGAACCAGAATCATCAGTTAAACACATGAAACCACTAACAGGAGCATTGCTTGTGAAAGACCTAATTTTTAAACTCAAACTCTTAGCCGCTAGCAGCCATGACTGGGGATGACGGCATCAAGGAACGGATCTCTGCTGTCAGGACTTTGCCCTAAAACAAAGACAACATTGATCACTTAGGCTACATTCACACTGCAGGCCTTAATGTTCAATTCCGATTTGTTTATGAAATCCGATTTTTTTTTTGCGTTGCCGTTCACATTTCCAAATATATGCGACTTGTATGTGATCTCCTGAGTGAGCTGCATTCAAACAATGCAAGTGTCCCTCATGCGCAGAAGAGGATGTAATGACGTCACAAGCAAGCGTGCTCTGAGTTTACTAAAGTAAACATGGATGGTAGTGCTAGAGCTCATCTAGCGATATTTCCCAACCTAAAAACACAATCCTTTCAAAACGTTTAAACATTAATACTGCTCTCCCCATCATCCTTCCTGGTTGTTGTTTTTCTTGCCAATTCTGCGTAGCAGGATGCAGAATAGTGACTTCAATCGGGTCTCAATGGCGTTCAGGCCGGATGAATGCGACCTGGCTGTTCAGACACAGGTTGTATCTGAAAAGATCAGATTCACATCGATTTAAGACCACATAGCCAAGATGCCTGGATCACATTGGAAAAAATTGGATCAGTGTTGTTCAGACTGTCATGAAAAGATCAGATACGGCTCGTGGATTTGGGTCACTTCAGGCTGCTGTGTGAAAGTCTAAGTTTCAAGAGGGAACATTTATGTTTACATTCAAACTGTTAAAAAGCTGACTGACATGTCCTTTTTAAGTGGGCCTTAAATAACTGGTAAGAGTTGGGGGGCCAGTGAAACCAAGCTAGTTTACATGGTTTTAAACAATCAGAACTGTAGCTGAGTTTGTGGACAGCGATCAGAGGATCCTGTTTATGGTGTTGATGCTGACATTCTTGTTGACAGCTATTAAAACGCGCCAAGTTTGGGCTCCAGAGCTGAAGGAGTGAGAGAAGACAACATATGGATTTTACTTGTCAGCGTTCCCTCTCCTCCCCATCACACTGACCTTAACTACGAGGGCAACCGGGAAAAAACTTTCAACCTACATGACAGAGCTGAGGAGAAGAGTAAGAGAGCAGAGAAAGTCGGCTCATAAAAGTGGAAGAGTAAGACAAAAGGCAGAGAAATTAGAAACAGAGCGGAGAGAAAGAAAAGGAAAAGTAAACGGAGGAGTGCAGGACAGGTTTCTGCTTGAGTGGCCAGGGCTAGCGAGAGTTGTCGAGAGCTTTCTGAAGGGAAGGAGCTTGTTTACTGCTGATATGACACGGCTACCCTGCAGAGAGGGAAATGCAAGCCCTCAGCCCTGTTATTATTAACAAGGACAAAGAGAACAGAGAGAGCGCACAAACACGCGCCGGACACACAACAAGTGCCTGCGCACACATGCAACGTGCATCCACACTGCCAATGTGACAAGTATGGATTTTTCCCCAGTGTGGATTATTCACAGAGGACATCTGAGAGACATCCTTGGCCCCTTCAAGCCACCCCCGACCTCTCAAAAACAAGGCTCTAATGAAAGGGGGCTAGAGCGGAGCAGCGTTGACTGGAGAAACCGGCAGCTGGGGGAAGAAGCTGAAGGGTTGTGGCTGACTGATGGAGGAGTGGAGAGCTGGGAGAAAGCAAGTGGCAGGGCATTAGCCACATCATGGCTTCCCAGGCTCCTAACTGAACTCCCCCTGGGCAGCTGAGCTCTGGTCATCAGACCCTTGCCCATCGATCGATACAACCCCGTATTCAGCCAGCGTACACATCCGTGGAGCATCAAGCCGAAAAATAATTACGCTGAAACAAGTAGTTTTTACTTTAAGCTGAGCTGAAGAAAGAAAGAAGAAAAGCAGTGTTAAGAGAACTGTTTGTTTGTCTCCGGTTAATAGTTAGGGTCAACGTGTCAACACCCATATCCAATGTGGAAGGCGTTGTAGAGGAGAGAGAGGAATACATGAGAAATGTGAGAAGAATTGACAAGATGGTGCAGCAGATGGAAGGTGTATTCACTAAAGGACAAAACCCCTTAATCCCACCACGAACTAATGCCCTCTGTAATGTTGTGCATACCTTTGCTAAATGCTCTTCAAGTGCTAGACAACTAAATGGAACCATTAACCAAGACAGTCATGCATGGTGTCTGGATTTATGTCGAGCATTAACTGTCTGCTAGTGATGTAATTCATTCATCTGACAGGGAAATGATGTCTGATGTGTTTCAGAGGATTGTGCTCAAAGGAGACGACCTTTGTGGAATCACTGAGTCAATGGTCAGCGGCAAAGATTGGCAGGATGAAGACGTAAAGAACCGCAACGTCTGATTTAAGAAGAAGAAATATAATAAGCTGCAATAAAAGGAAAGGAAATCAAATTGTTGGGTTGCAAAAACAAGTTAAAGGTGAGGACTGAGTTGGTATCTGTCGAGACGATGAGAACAAGAAAGACTGAAGAAGGAATCACTGACCATGTCAAGGTTAAAAGACCAATAATTTGGTAGAGAAATACAGCTGTTCTACTTCCACTAAAGAAGCTCCTCTCTTGTTATCTGCCTGTCTAAACAAACGGCTGCTCTGTGAGTCTGAAAAACTAGAACAAAGCTGGAGGTTTATGGTTTGGATGTTACAGAAAACTGCATAATTTACTATTTCAAGGCAGAAAAGCATTAGTGTAAATATCACTGCAAAAGAAATAATGTATAAAAAGAACTAAATGTAAAAACCTAAAACACATAAAAAGCATTGAGCTAAAAAAAAATGAACACAAACATTTAAACCATTATTGATCTCTGGTATTGAAATGATCAACATTGTCTTTGAACCTTCTATGATCCTCTTAATCAGCTCCTTAAGGCTGGTTTATACGCAGAAACCACAGCATCTGCATGTGTGTCGCAGCGAATGCGACACACACTGGGACCCTTTTTCCACCTGGATCCCCGCTCTTTTTCGCCCTCATGTCCCTCCGTTGTCCCACAAACGCCCACACTTCCTCACCTCCTCGGCCATACGGTATCTGGACCCACAGCTAGTTCGTGATTCTCCCTCTTGGTTTGTGTCGTGGAATAACACAGTGCAGATAACGCTTCAATATCGGGCATAAATTGAAAATAACTGCGACACACTAATGCGAGGGGATAACCAGCCCTTTACTGTGCCGAGGTTCCTTTAAAAGATTCAGTGTCTTTTTTTACTCATTGTCCTGTAAATCAACATTACCAGGTTTGGGAAATTCACTGTATTTGCAACATAAATGTAATTTTTCAAAGAAGTTTCCAATCTGCAGGGACGCTAAATTTAGCTCTCCTTCCATTTAATGGACTTTCCTAGTCCAGTCTTTTAGGTGGCGGTAGCACGCTTGAAGCATTTTTGCCGCCACACAGAAATTAAAAAGAAGGTTGCAGGTAGTGCACAGATCCATGCATTGGAGTAGGAGTAAGAATATAGCAGTCAACGGGATTTAAGGTTCTTGATAAATTCATTCAGCCCTAATCTCTACACCTCCTATTTACTCTGACTTTTCCTTTTCCCTGCTGATAAAAGAGCACCACAAAGCATTATGATTATATATATCCACAATGTGTGGTGTATTTACACTGACCAGTAAGCTTAAGCAGATGTGGTTTACTCTGACATTTTTATATTTAGACATCAGGGTTGGAAGTTTCTTCCGGATGGTGGTTGCAATGTTTATTTTCCCGCCCGGACAAAATTTGGAGGGTCAAATTAACTGCAAAGTTTTGTTTCTTTTGGGGAATATTTTGCCTTCAGCAGGCCCAAATCAGGTAATAACCCCGAGGTGGGGTTGAATAGCTATTAACCAGGATGGTTGGGGGCATGAATAGCAGAAAAAATTAATGAAACAAAGCCAAATGGTGGAATCTGAGTAAAAAAAAAAGTGTTTTCCTACCATTTAAAGGCTATCAGTAAATGATCACTTCTGTATTAGATATGTGATTACGTGGGTTTTTGTGCCACTGTGTGTATTTTCATAAAGATTTTTCCTTATGTAGCCTGGTAGATGGAGTGAGTTGACTTTTCAATGGAAAAATTAAAAGGACTTTCTTCCAGTTTCTTCCGGGAGACACGGAATAAAAAAAAAAAACTTTCCTCCAGTTTCTTCCACTTTTCTGGAATAAACAGGTTTCTTCCAGAAGGAACTCAACCCTGTTAGATATATAACAGGGATATAACAAAACAAGAACCTACTAGGTTACCAAATAAAAATAGCATGAATGGAATAAAATGTATGAAAGAGCGTAATCCCTCATGAACCCAGATGTAAACTGTCACTTAAAGACAGGCTCTGACATCCTGTCAGACGTTAGTGCCACTTGGTGTCACTGAAGTGGATGACTGTGGTTTAGATGTGTTTCTAAATGGTGCTTATGTTTGCTGTCAGGAGAAAGCTAAAACTTAACTCCATAATGTGAACCATCTGAGGTAAGCCCTGTCAGTCAGCCGTGCTTCTTGGCATCATGTCTGTTTTTACTATATTATGGACGTGTGGACTTCTCTGTCATCACATCCTCTCCTTCCTCAATGATCCGCCATACAGCAAAGATATATTGGCTGCATTTAGGAGATAGCTTAGGGAGCTTATTTCCAGCATTGTTAGGATTATTCTTATTGATGATGTGCAAGTCTGTTAAACCCTAATAATACCTGCCTGTTGCGTGTCAGAACTAATGTTTTTCTAACTAACTAAAGCAGTTAATCTAATTAGGACAGTTCTTCTGTCAGGATAAAAAGTCATTTTCATTACGTACAAGGCAAAGATTTGGGAATTAAATGAGAGCAGTGTCCTTGATCTAATAACAGAGTGTAAGAGTTTGATAAGGCCGGAGCTATAGATGTCTCCTCATCTGCAAATGTTTATGATGTAATGATGTGATGATTATGGCTTACTGGAGTTGTATAAAATGCTTCTTTAAGCAGCCTGCACTCTAGGTCCCTAAGCAAGACCCTTAACCCCACACTGCTCACCGGACGCCAAACAATTGCAGCCCATTGCTCCCCAAGGGGATGGGTCAAATGCAGAGGTAAAACTCTCCAATGTGAGAGAAAATAAAGTTCAATTATCATTATTATTATTAACTGTGAATCGTGGCCACTGCAAGTGCTGCCTTCTGTAACTCTAAACAACTTCTCTGGTCTGACTAAGCTTACAAGTTCATGTCAAAAACTGTTGTCATGTCTCATGGTTATTAAATGCAAACATTATCAAGTGTTATTTGAAGAGTTTGTCTGGAGTGATCTGGTCTCAAAAAAAGAACTGGAGAGAGAAAGCTTAAAGATGTAAACACAGAGCTTTCGTTTAACAGCAACTTGCCTCAATAAAACTGTAATATAATTTCAGAACGCACTGCACTTGGATCCATCCAAGTTTCTGCTCAAGCAAACGTCCAGTATTACATCTCCTGCAATTATGGGTGAGGTTCCGCCCAGGATGAACAACGGCGAACTGAGAGAAGGTGAGTATAAACAATCAGTTAATCAGAATGAACTAATTTAAATCTAATAAACTACTTCATTTGTAAGTCAGTTATTCTTGTGCATTTTTGTCTTTTTTGTTTTTCCATTTGCTGTTTTTACGACAAGGCTTTCTGCAAACAGTAAATGGACTTTTTGTAGGATATAATGTTGTCTACAAGAATTACTAATGTTTACTTCACAAAATTAAAGAAGGGTGTTTAACGTATAAGATTTTTTTATGTATTATTCTGAGGAATTGTTTATATTTTAAGAACTTCCTCTAAGGATGCATATTCTCTTTTTTTCTTTACACCTGTATATTATGAGTGCTTTCTGATCATGTTTCTCTGTAGAATGTTATAATATAATTGATACATAATGATAATAAAGGCTCTTGATTGTTAAAATGTTTTATTCCACCTCAGGGTTCTGTTCCACTTTGTTTTGATCAATCATGTTTTATCACCTGAGTAAAGGGAAAAAGTTCAGACAAAGACCTGACTGGATGGAGGCCAGGGCCTTTACCTCAGGTGTCTCAGTTGATCTATTTATGAATATAACCATCCCAACAGAGTGATTGTATTGAATGTAACCTAAAGCCTCGTATGTCCGACCATGTCCAGAACTGGAAAGGCTTAAACATCTTTAGGAACCAAGAAAAGAAGTCAGTTGGCCTCTGAGAAGCCAAACTAGCCAACAGTGACCTACCCTGCTGATGCTGATCGTTTTTTTTAAATCAGTCAGTAAGTCTGTGTGTGTTTGCTTTAGATTTTTTACACTGTTCTATGAAATACAGGGACCACTTGTATCACTGTGACATTCTTCCATCAACAAAGGTCCTAAACGTCAAATCTGTATTTTTTTATTTTTACTAAATTCCCCCGCTATGTTTCAACACAGTCCTGGTTCATCCTCTGCATTTGTCAGAGTATTGATGCCTCCAGACTTTAGCACAGCGCCCTATATGCTAAAATATTTAGTTAGTAGTTACCTTGAGTTGCAGCAGCTCCTCCAGGTCCTGGATTCTTTGTTCTGCTTCGATCCGCCTCCCACTTCCCAACCCCACACTGCTGGCTGGGGACAGAGACCTGGACCGCTGCACAGGTGTACCCTGGGAGAGACGAGCAAAGAAGCACTGAGCTGAAAACTTGAACACATTTCACTTACAAAGACATTCACAAACTCATGCAGCAATTAACATCTGCAGCATCGTTGAGTGAATGCCAACGATGGAATCATCTGTGTTCATCCCGTTCCCTTCTCACCTGGAGTGAAGCATGAACATTGCCCTGCCTGGTTCGCACATATGCACGCACACAAACAAAACACGCTGCCAGAGGAATAAGGAGAGTCGGAGCAGCAGTCAGCAGCAGCTGAAGGGAGGAGGTGCACATCTGTGTGTCTGTGTGTTTGGAAGCAGCAGTTGCAAGCTGAGAGCAGCAAAGGTTTCTCCCTGCAACTGGCTAATGAGTATGTTCATTTCCATTTACATTGTTTCTTTGACAATAATGATGTCCCATTAGGGGAGACTAAAGGGGCTATAGATTCCAGAATGTGCTGGGCTTCATTACAAGAGGTGGGCAGGGAGGCCGCTCTAATTGCTCTACGAGGGGCCTCCAGGTTACACTTGATAGGACAACTGGAAGAGCTGCCGATTAGGAGGGGGTGCAGTTCACTAGCCAGTCTCTACTGTAGAAATAAATAAAGAAACAGAGGAGCGCTGGGGCCATGCTGTACAAAAGCAGTGGGAACAATATGCTAGTGGAATATGAATATGAGAGGATAGGAGGCGCCATGCGGTGCCAAGGAGGGCTGACCAGATGGCAGGCTAAAATATGCAATGCGACTAAATGCCCAACAGTCCTTGGGCAGAAGTGGATGAGGAGCGAAGGGGAGGAGGATAAAGTGAGGAGGTTAATGATGAGTTGTGTAAAAGTTTAACTCCTCTCAAGAATTGTGTCTAAAACTAAGCTGCCAGTTGGTTGTATCTAAAAGTTACTGAACAGAAAAAGGTCGCCAGAGTTCCTTTCAGGCTGGGCTGCAGATTCCTTCTTGCCACTGTGATAGAATTACAGTGGCTTATAAAAGTATTCAGGTTTTACCAGTCTGCTAAAATGATCAACCAATTTCATTTTGGTTTTATAAGTCGTTTATAAATGCCGAACATAATCTAAACATGAGGTTCCTGAAATTTTTAGCTGGTGGCCAACAAAAACTGAACCAGAACAGGATCATGACCCAAATGGATTAATCCTACGCACATTATAAAAATTATATTCTAAGTAAAGGATTTATCCCTTTAGGCACCATTAAATACATAGTCAGATGAAAAAGTTTGTTAACCCCTAACAATGTGCTGTATGCATTAAAACAAAACTTGACAGGTGCGAAATTTGGGTACCCTAATCATTTTATTGATTTGGGTACCCTTAACTACCTTTCACTGACTTAATGAAACACAAAATAGATTTGGTAACTTCATTAAGATTTGAACTTCATAGCCAGGTGTATCCAATCATGAGAAAAACAAAGATTGTTCAACATAGTCGTTCAGGGGGAAGGATACAGAAAGTTGTCTCAGAGATTTACTGTCAGTTTCCACTCTGAGGATCATAGTAAGGAAATGGAAGATCACAGGCACATTTCTTGTTAGACGCAGGAGTGGCAGGCCAAGAAAAATATCAGAGAGGCAGAGAAGAAGAATGGTGAGAATGGTCAAGGACAACCCACAGACCACCTCCAAAGACCTGCAGCATCATCTTGCTGCAGATGGTGTCACCGTGCATCGTCCCACAATTCAGCACACTTTGCACCAGGAGAAGCTGTATGGGAGAGTGATGTGACAGAAGCCTTTTCCGTAAGCATGCCGCAAACAGAATCGCTTGAGGTTTGCAAAAGCACATTGGGACAAACCAGCTTCATTTTAGAATAAGGTCCTGTGGACTGATGAAACAAAGATTGAGTGGTTTGGTCTTTAGAAAAGGTGTTATGCATGGCGGCACAGCGTTCCAAGAAAAACACTTGCTCAACCCACTAAAATTAGGTGGAGGTTCCATCATGCTTTGGGGCTGTGTTGCCAATGCTGGCACTGGCAAACTTGTTAAACTTGAGGGTCGCATGGATTCCACTCAATATCAGCAGATTCCAGAGAATAATGTTCAAGAATCAGTTACGAAGTTGAAGTTGCACCGGGGATGGATATTTCAGCAAGACAATGATCCAAAACACCGCTCCAAATCTACTCAGGCATTCATGCAGAGGAACAATTCCAATGTTGTGGAATGGCCATCCCAATCTCCAGACCTGAATATCATTGAACATCTGTGGGATGAGTTGAAGCAGGCTGTCCATGCTCCGCAACCATCAAACTTAACTGAACTGGAATTGTTTTGCAAAGAAGAATGGTCAAAAATCCCTTCATCCAGGATCTCATTAAAAGCTGCAGGAAGCAACTAGAGGCTGTTGTTTTTGCAAAAGGCAAATCTACTAAACATTAATGTCTCTTTTTTGCTGAGGTGCCCATATTTTTGCACCGGTCAAGTTTTGTTTAACATGTACTGCACATTTTCTGTTAGTCCAATAAACCTCAATTCAATACTGAAATATTACTGTGTCCATCAGTCATTAGATATATCAAACTGAAATAGCTGTGGCAAACACCCAAATATTTAGAAATAAAAATAATTAAAAATAATAGCAGTGCCCAAACTTTTTCATATAACTGTATGGTGCCATTATCTTTTAGTTTTATATCCAGAACTGATCTTAAGACCCCCTGACTACAAGTAGGGTCCCAAACCACGACATTGCAAAAAAGGATTTAAACCAGCTCAGTGTACATCTGGCTGAATGTTATGTCATTGTACCGCTGGAAGGGGAGTCTCAACTCCTCTGAAGCCTGTAACCAGGTTTTTCTTTTCTTTTAATCAAAGCTTTTTTTTCTGAAATTTTTCTTAAAGTACAGATTTGCTCATAGCAAACAGTTATTCTTCAAACCTGAGCTGTGGATATCTGATGCTCCTCCATTCTAACCATGGCTCCTCTCTTAGATAAAGTACTGGGGAAAACATCAGCTCTGACACGCAACAGGCAGCTAATATTAAGCTGTAATAAACTCACCCATCATCAATTATAATTATCCTAACAATCTATATTCCAATTTATGACTTTGAGATGACAAAAAGGGAAAAATGCCAAAGGGATTTAAATAGTTTGCAAAGGTCTTGTATATAAGAACCCAGGTGGTATGGCAGTTTGAGTAGGTGTGAAGTGGGGGCTGTCATAAGCCACAGAACATAACTAGCACTGCTGTGATGCGCAAGGTCCAGCAATACCAGCTCAATAAATCTGAGAGGATTCTTAGACATGGCCAAATCAAGGTTAGGAGTGAGAGGCTGGGGCAGCTAAGAGGTTCCTAGGGGTGGACAATATTTCAATAACAATATATATCAAAATATAATGTCATTCAATAATGGTTATATGACTTTTCTGACATTTCAATATGTTATACAGACTATGATTACAGCATAATTGTCATGAAAATGTTCAGTGGGTAATATTTACAGTCTTTTATTTTGTTAATATAAATATTGAAACTACATAGTAATTGACTGAAATTGAGAAATTTATCGTGATTTTTGTAATATCGTCCAGACATTTTTTCCCAATCATGTTACAGTTCTGGAACATGGCACCCCAGCATGACGTGCTGCATCATCGACATATGATTTTTCATATGGGAATGACAAAGGCATCTCCCAAAACAAGAGAATACAATGTAAAAGAAGGAAGCATTTATGAAAAAATAATTTATCCTTTTTTTCTTAATTGACTTGTTTAAAAATTGTTGAAATGCTTCTGATGTTGGATGAGATTTTTACAAGTTGCAATCATAAAGAGCTCCATGTCTTCAAAGTTAGAGGGACTCCTTGTATCATGCAAAAATGAAAATCCAAGGTCAGATTTTAATTAAGCACAGACCATTGAGCCATTGAGAGGTCTGTATAAACAAGACTGAACTTGTTAAAATCTGACTTTACTGTTTGGAGTTTTTATTTCAGAAATCTCTTCCATAACACTGATTTACATGTCTGTAAGCATGTTTGGACACCTGCCTTGGGGCTACAGTTGACTCTAGCGACCTGGAGTGCCAGGTTCTGCAAACATGCCTGCATGGATACCAACCATGTGTTCTAGCTCAGCCTTAATGACTTTATGCAACCAATTAGCAGATTGATCTGCATATCCCTGACAAGTGGCAGGCCAGTTGGCTTGGCCGGTCAGTACAACAGGGAAAACCCAGACGGCAAAAAGGGAAATTCAAAGCTTATCCTTAAAGAGGAGATGACCAATTATAAACTGTAGTTTACACTGAATTAAGTGTAGAATAGTATTTCTAAAACATGTTGTTGTGGTTTAGAAAAGTCTGGCCTCGTATTGATGGCCTATTTTATTTTTTCTGTTATGGCTATTAGATGATTAAACTGATTTTCTTTTGCAGACAAAGACAATCTAAGAAACTGGAAAAATATATTTTCCTCTAAGCTTTATAACTGGTTTAAATAAACCTACTTCTTCCCAGTTTCTGAGAAAAATATTAGTCTTTTACTATGCAACGCTGATCTTTGCAGAACTGTTTTTATTTCTGCAATGTTTGTGGGCTTTAGTTAACATATATACAGATAAATAAGTCATGCTGATAGTGTATTGCATCAGCATTGATGCATATGTGTCTACATTCGTATATTGCTCAAAA